CGGAGGGGAGGGGAGGGGAGGGCGGGGCGGAGGCGAGGGAGGGAGAGGGCGGGCGGGGCGGAGCGAAGGACGGGGAGAAGGGCGGGGCTGAGTGGGGCGGGGGGAGGGCGGGGGCGGGGCTGAGACAGACACGGGTCCCCCCACAGGACTGCAGGGTGCGGGTGGTGGCCGGCTCCAGTCTGAAATCGGAGACCTACTAGATCTTACTTAATGAACTTTTGAAAAAACATACAACCTTTTTGATGCTGCTGTGAATGGAATGGTTTTTCTCAGTTTCATTTTTGACTGTTCATCGCAAGTGTATAAAAATAATACAATACAATACACTAAGGGTGCCTGGTTGACAGTAGAGCCTACCGACCCTTGATCTCGGGTTTGGGAGGGAAGCCCCACGTTGGGCATAGAGCCCGCCTTAGAAAACTTGATCTGGGGACCCTGGGCGGCTCGGTTGGTTGAGCCTCCTCCCCTTGGTTTCGGCTCAGGTCATGATTTCCCGGTTCTTGGGTTCAGGACCATGTCAGGCTCTGTGCTGACAGTGAGGGGCCTGCTTGGGATTCTCTCTCTCCCTCTGTCTCTGCCCCTGCAACTCTCGTGCTCTGTCTCTCGCTCTCAAAACAAATAAATAAACTTTAAAATATATATATTTGTGTGTGATCTCACACCTGCAAGTTTGTGGCACTCTTTCATTAGTTCTAGTAATTCTTTCCTTTTTCATTAAAAAATGTTTAATTTTTTTCAATGTTTTATTTATTTCTGAGAGAGAGAGACAGCGTGAGCAGGGGAGGGTCAGAGAGAGAGGGAGGCACAGAATGTGAAGCAGCTCCAGGCTCTGAGCTGTCAGCACAGAGCCCGACGCGGGGCTCAAACTCCTGACCTGTGAGATCACAAGCTGGCATCCCTCCCTATTGGGGCTTTTAATTGATGATTGGCAAGTCCACCTCTAACTGATGTTCAGTGGCAAGCTCCCACCTCTGGCCTCCTGACTCCACTTGAATGAGGTTTCCCTTCATTAATTTTTACAAGATATTTTTTCCCTCTTAGTATAGACCTTTACAAATGTAAATCTCCCTCTAAACACTGATTTTGCTCTATTTTATAACTTTTTATATGTGTGCCTTCATTTGCATTCATCTCAAAGTATTTCTGAGATTCCCCTTTTGATTTCTTATACCCTGAAAGCCACAAATCATTATTGAAGGAAATTAAGGAAGATTTAAATAAATGAGGACAATCCCACGTTCCTGGTTTGGAAGACTTAACCTTGTCAGACTGGCAATATAAGTTTCAGGCATATGAAAGACCGAAATGTGAAAGCTTTTAGAAGACGGAAAAATATATTCACAGTCTCCTGTGGGTACAAATTTCTTTTGGCACAAAAAGCACTAATTTAAAGGAAAAGATTGACAGAGTCAATTCTCTTAAAATTGATAACTTCATTAAGAAGCACCATGAAGGTATCAGAAGAGCCAAAATCCAACCGCTGACAAGACCAAATGTTGAGAAAAGTGTGGAACAACAGGGGCTCTCTCTCACTGCTGGTGGGAATGCGGGGCAGGGCAGCCACCTGGGAAGAGGTTGGCAGTTTCCTAGGAGAATAAACATATGATCCGGCAGTCATGCTCCTTGCCGTTTATGCAAATGAGTTGAAAATTTACGTACACAAAAGCCTGCACGTGGATATTTATAGCAGCTTTATTCACAATTGCCAAACGTGGAAGCGACCAAGATGTCCTCCGGTGGGGTGAGCGGGCGAATTCTGTGGCGCATCCCTAGGATGGGTATTGCGCGGTAATAAAAGCTATGAGCTATTGGGGTGTCTGGGGGGCTCAATTGGTTGAGTGAGACTTCAGCTGAGGGCACGATCTCTCAGTCTGTGGGTTCGAGCCCCACACTCTGTGCTGACAGCTGGGAGCCTGGAGCCTGCTTCAGATTCCGTGTCTCCCTCTCTCTCCGCCCCTCCTCTGCTCACACACTGTCTCTTTCTCAAAAATAAACACTAAAATTTAAAAACAACAGTATGAGCTATCAAGCCATAAAAAGGCATAGAGGAAACTTAAATGCATATTACTAGATGAAAGAAGCCTAACCAACTCGACAATAAACTATTTGTAAAAAAAAAAAAAAAAAAAGTGTGAGAAAACACAAGAAAGAAAGAAAGAAAGAAAGAAAGAAAGAAAGAAAGAAAGAAAGAAAGAAAGAAAGAAGCCTATCTGGAAAGGCTGCACAGCAATCTAGGAAAGGCGAATATATGGAGACAGTAAATAGACCAGAAGCTATTAGGGGTTGGAGGAGGAAGAGGGGTGTGGGCAGATGGAGTTTTAAAGTAGCAGAACTAGAGACGCCTGGGGGCTCAGTCAGTTAAGTGTCCAACTTCGGCTCAGGTCATGATCTCAGGGTTCATGGGTTCGAGCCCCGCGTCGGACTCTGTGCTGACAGCTCAGAGCCTGGAGTCTGTCATCTGATACTGTGTCTCCCTCTCTCTCTGACCCTCTCCTGCTCACGCTGTCTCTCTTACTCTCTCTCTTAAAAATAAATAAAGCATTAAAAACATTTTAAAGTAGCAGAACTATTCTGTATGATACTATAATGGCAGATAAATGCCATTGGGTAAAGACCATCTGTCGAATCTAGAATGTGCAACACTGAGAGTGAGTCCTGGTGAAAACTGTGGACTCTGGCAAATAACAGGGTGAGTGAACCTCACTGGCTGTAAGAAATGTAACACATGGTCGAGGGTGGGACGTTGATAGTGAATGAGGCTGTGTGTGTTTGGGGGTAAGGGGTACCTTGAAACTGTACCTTCTGCTTAATTTTGTTGTGAACCTAAAACTTCTCTAAAAAATAAAATCTATTCCAAACTACACACAAACCATAAAGAAAATAAAAGACGAGTCACAGAATGGGAAGAATGTTTCCACCACCCACACCCACACAAGCCTAGGGTCCTATTCCCAGCAACCATTGCCCCCATTGCCAATAACCCAATGGGACAGCAGACAAATACTTGAAGACTCACTTTCCAGGGAGGAAATCCAAGTACGCAAGAAACACGCGCAGAAGAGCTCAGGCTCAGCAGCAATCAGACAAATGCAAGTAAAGCCATAGCAAAAATCTCAAAAAGTTTGAAAATTCCAAGTATTAGCGAGCACATGGACCATTGAAATTCGTGTACCACTAGTGAGAATCTCGGCTGACAAAACTGCTTTGGTAGAGTCTGGAATTATCTGGAAGGCAAAGAATCAACCTACAGAATAGAAGGAAATACTGGCACATCATGTATCTGTTGAGGGTCTTGTTTGAAAGATTTAAAGGACTCTTGGACCTCAAGCTCAATGAAACAACATATTTCACACCTTTCTGTCACCCTCTCCCCTTGAACGTGCTTGATGACTGCTCCTAATACACAGAGGGGATGTCACTTTCAAGACGTGGCTCTCAAAGACCCTGAAAGAGGACTTCAGCCGCTCCATTTTGACCTTGGACTTTGCAGCTGGGTTCTTCCCATCCCGTCTCCTGGCTACGGCTGAAGACCAAGAACAAGCACTACTGCGCCCTCAGCTAGGGCGGCCGTGAGCCAGCAAGACCCTGCCACCTGCTGAGGTGACTGAGCCCCAGAGAAGGGTCCACTTGACTTTCACTGCCCACCAGCACACAGCTACCCGCCTTCGCCCCACATTTTCCTCGTATGAACCTGCAGGTATTGTTGGCGCTTGGGAAACGTCTCTGAGATGCTGCTCCGTTATCTTCCCGCTGTCGGCCTCGCTGAAATCAATCCCGTTCCTCCTTCCCCACCACTCGTTTCATTTCTCTGCCTTCGGATTTTGTCAGCGGGGAGGGGCTGAGCCTGGGAAGTTTGGGGTTCCCAAGTGGGCTGCTCTTCCACCTCTGCACCCCGCCCGCACCGGGAGCTGCTTCTGCTCCCTCCTGTCTCTCAGTTCCTTGAGTCCTTCCTGGAGGGGAGGCTGCAGCCCTGGGCGCACCTGTGAGCCCCCGCCGGGCAGAGTCACCGGCTAAGTGCCACCCAGCCTCCTGACCCACAGAAACTATGAGGTCATAAGTGTATGTTGTTTCCAGGCATTAAATTGTGGGGTGTTTTGTGATGCAGCAATCGATAACTAATTCAAGGATCAAGGAGGGAGGTGATCGGCCCAGCGGCCCTGATGGTCCCCGGAGCCTTCTGGGCTGGGACTGTGTCTGGGCTCACGCAGCCCCCTCTCCTCTCAAGGCTTGGCCCGTCTGGTTTTGGTGCTGGGGTGTGAGCCTGGCTGAGGATGAGGTGCAGTGTGGAATTAGGAATGAGCACAACGGGGGCGCCTGGGGGGCTCAGTCGATTGAGCGTCCAGCTTCGGCTCAGGTCATGATCTCGCGGTTCGTGGGTTCGAGCCCCACGTCGGGCCCTGTGCTGACAGCTCAGAGCCTGGAGCCTGTTTCAGATTCTGTGTCTCCCTCTCTCTCTGACCCTCCCCTGCTCATGCTGTCTCTGTCTCTCTCTCTCAGAAATAAAGAAAACATTAAAAAAATTTTTTAAAGAATGCACACAACCTTGGATTTCTGGAACATTCCCATAAACGTGCTGATGGTCCTTGCACTATGTGCTTGGAGAGACCCTGCCCTTCAGGGTGGGGGGAGGGGTGGCAGGAGAACCAAATCGTACCCCACCCCTGCTGCCCTTTCCCTATCAGTTCAACAGGGAATTGCCCTACCTTGGGTTCTCAGTGGTTTATTTTTTTAAGGATTGTTTATTTTGGGGGGGGGAGAGGGGCAGAGAGAGAGGGAGACGGAGAATCTGAAGCAGGCAAGCAGGCTCGTGCGGATGACAGGGCTCAAACTCAGGAACTGTAAGATCATGACCTGAGCCAAAGTCCGTTGCTCAATTGACTGAGCCACTCAGGCGCCCCGTCCCAGTGGTTTTTAAACTTGTGCCTCCTTTGGATAAAGGTGGAAGTTTCCGTCACAGGTAAGTGACAGTGAGGCAAGTCTCACTCAGAGGCCAGCCTGGGGCTTGGAAACTGCCTAGCCCCATTACCTGCCCACAGGCAGCCGGGAGGTGGCTCTCAGATCTGGTCTCCGCTCATTCCTAGACACGGCACGGTTACAGATCTCTGGTTCAGTTCCCTTAAGGTCAGAAAACTTATTCTTTTTTTTTTTTTTAAATATTTTTATTTTATTTCTAGGAGAGAGAGAGAGAGACAGCGTGAGCAGGGGAGGGTCAGAGAGAGAGGGAGACACAGACTCTGAAATAGGCTCCAGGCTCTGAGCTGGCAGTCAGCACAGAGTCCGACGCGGGGCTCGAACCCACGAACCGTGAGATCATGACCCAAGCGAAAGTTGGACGCTCAGCCGACTAAGCCACCCAGGCGCCCCCAGAAAACTTATTCTTTATCACTTATGTTCTTTTACATTTGTCAAGAATTGTTCTGTGGCCAGCATGGCTCCATTGTGGGGCACGACCCCTATGCACCTGGATGCATGTCCGCGCTGCGGTGGTGGGACGTGGGGCCCCATGGGTACCAGGAGCTCCCGGCTGCCGGCCGCCCACGGTATGGTGCAAACATTCCCTGCCTCTCCTCCGCTTCCCTTGAGCATGTTCCCCCGGCTGCTGTGAGGCTATCAGATCTGTTCTCATCGTGTGCAAATGCCATTTCTTGCTTTCATTCTGCCAGGTGTTACTTCATGTATTTGGAAGCTCTTTTAAGAGGACTTATTCCCACAGGGGCGCCTGGGTGGCTTAGTCGGTTAAGCTTCTGACTTTCGCTCAGGTCATGATCTCGCGGTTCGTGGGTTCGAGCCCCGCGTCGGGCTCTGTGCTGACTGCCAGCTCAGAGCCTGGAGCCTGTTTCAGTCTGTGACTCCCTCTCTCTCTGACCCTCCCCTGCTCACACTGTCTCTCTCTCTCTCCTAGAAATAAATAAAACATTAAAAAAAATTTTAAAAAAAAAGAGGACTTATTCCTACAGACTTATTCCTTCCTTATTAATTGACCCTTCTATTACTATAAAGTATTTTTATTTATTTTTGGTCATACTCTTTCTTTTGAAGTCTACCATATCTGATAAAATTAGAGACACCCTGGTTCCTTATGCTCATTATCTCATATCTTTGTCTATTCATTTGCTGTTAACCCACCTGTGTCCTTATGGTTGAATGGAGTCATTTCCAGATAGTCCAGTCTCACTTTTTATAAAATTAAAAAAAAATGTTTTGTTATTGTTTATTTTGGGGAGGGGGGAGGGGCAGAGAGAGAGGGTGACACAGAATCTGAAGCAGCTCCAGGCTCCGAGCTGTCAGCTCAGAGCCCGACTTGGGGCTCTATCACCAGATGGTGAGATCATGACCGGAACCGAAATCAAGAGTCGGAGATGCCTAACCGACTGAGCTCCCAGGTGCCCCTAAATCCTTTATATATTTTGGATATTGACCTCGTATCAGATATGTCATTTGCAAATATCTTCTCTCGTTCAGTAGATTCTTTTGTTGTGTTGGTGTCTCAGTCCGCTGAGCAAAAGCTTTTTCTTTCTGTGTGGCCTCAGTCGTTTATTTTTGCTTTTATCCCCGTCACTTGCAGAGACAGAGCTGGGAAAATGCTGTCACTGCAGATGTCGAAGAAATCACTGCCTGTGCTCTTTCACGGGCTTTCCGGTTTCGGGTCTCACATTTAGGTCTTTAATCCGTTTTGAGTTTATTTCTGTGTGTGATGTGAGAACGCGGTCTAGGTTCAGTCCTGTGCATCGTGTCCAGCTGTCCCAGCGCTGTTTACTGAAGACGCGATCTTTTCCCTGTGGTATATTTCTGCCTCCTTTGGTTGTAGACCATACGAGCACGGGTTTACTTCTGGGCTTTCTATTCCATTTCATTGATCTATGTGTCTATTTTTTGTCAGTATCATACTGTTAGAACCACAAAAGACCCTGAAAAGCCAAAGTAATCTTAAGAAAAAAAAAAGGGGGTCGCCGGGGGGGGCTCAGTTGTTAAGCGTCCAACACCTGATTTCAGCTCAGCTCATGGCCTCACAGTTTGTGAGCTCCAGCCCTGCGCTGGGCTCGGCCATGACAGCGTGGAGCCTGCTTGAGATTCTGTCTTTCCCTCTCTCTCTGCCCCTCCCCTGCTCACACACTCTCTCTCTCAAAATAAATAAATAAACTTAAAAAAAAAAGAAGAAAGCTATAGATATCACAATCTGAGATTTCAAGATATACCACAAAGCTGTAATAACAATAATAATATGGTATAATCAAATATATTTATTATCATACGTGTTAAAAAACATCTATCTTTTTAGCATTTCTATCATTCTGACTTTCTGGCAACACCTTATTTGCTTTCTTTTATTTGAAAATGTCTTTATTTGGTCTATTCTTTTTTTAATATAATTTATTTACATTTGTAGCAATCTCTGCACCCAGCATGGGGCTTAAACTCAACAACCCTGAGATCACTGACTGAGCCAGCTGGGTGCCCCCGTTTTATCTATCCTTTTTTTATTTTTTTTTAATTTTTTTAATGTTTTATTTATTTCTAGGAGAGAGAGAGAGACAGCGTGAGCAGGGGAGGGTCAGAGAGAGAGAGAGTCACAGACTCCGAAACAGGCTCCAGGCTCTGAGCTGGCAGTCAGCACAGAGCCCGACGCGGGGCTCGAACCCACGAACCGCGAGATCATGACCTAAGTGAAAGTCGGACGCTCAACCGACTAAGCCACCCAGGCGCCCCCCCGCCCCGTTTTATCTATCCTTAAAGGATGTTTTTGCTAGATATAGAACTGTAGCTTGACAAGAGTGTTGTTGGTTTTTTTTACCTGAGCACTTTGAAGATGGCATTCCACTGTGTTCTGTCCTGCATTGTTTCTGACTTCTGAGAAGTTCTATATCATTTACACTCCCTTCCCTCGAGCGCCACTCTTCTCTGGCTGCTTTCAATACTTTCTGCTCTAGTTTGGTTTCCGTAGTTGTGCCTGGGTGTGGTTTTCATTGTATTCATTCTTCTGGTCACTGAGCTACTTGAATCTGTAAAGTAACGTCTTTTACCAAATTTGAGACCTTTGGGCTATTAATGTTTCACGTTTTTTTCTGCTTCCTTCTCTCTTTCCAGTCCTCATGGGACTCCAACAATTTATTTGTATTTTGTTATTTTCTGTTTAGATTTTATTTATTTATTTATTTTTAATGTTTTATTTATTTCTAGGAGAGAGAGAGAGAGACAGCGTGAGCAGGGGAGGGTCAGAGAGAGAGGGAGTCACAGACTGAAACAGGCTCCAGGCTCTGAGCTGGCAGCACAGAGCCCGATGCGGGACTCGAACCCACAAACCGCGAGGTCATGACCTGAGCCAAAGTCGGACGCTTAACCGACTGAGCCACCCAGGCGCCCCTGTTTAGATTTTAAAGTAGTCTCTACTCCCAATGTGGGCATGAACTCATAACCCAAAGACAGGAGGGGCGTGTTCCGCTGGCTGAGCCCGCCAAGCGGCCCTTGGGACTCCAGTCTGGGAGCTGCCAGACCCTGGTGGCCCTGCTCCAGCCGCTACAGGGAGGAACCTGGAAAAGGGGGCTCCTTCTCCCAGGAGGCCCCCCCAGCCTTGCCTGCATCTGCAGCTCGGGTAAACTGAGGAGGAATGCCAAGGAGAGCCCTCAGACCGGAGCCCCCCCCCCCCCCCCGCCCTGGCACACATCGCAGCTCCTGTCACCCTCTGCACCTTAGCCGGAGGCCAATAATCTGCTCTGGTTACCATGCTCCCCTGCACGTGGGCCTCATCCCAGGCTCGCTGTTGCCGAGGGCCTGCAGGCATTGACTGTACCTCCATCTTCTGGTTCGTGGGAGCCCACGCCCAAGACAGGAAGTGCTCCTTTGCCAGATAAAACGGGGATAAATAAGAACCACGTGCTGAACTTTAAAAAGTAAAAATAAAACGACAACTAATGTTTATTTATACATAATTTTAAGACTATGTACTTCCTCCTTTTTTGGTGGGAAAATGATTTTT